AGTTATACCAATGATCATACATAACAAGATGGTCCACTCCTCTTTTTGAGCCAATTAAAAAAGTGTCCTCAAAATTCGGTGGCGCCCTCTTCACAAAAGCGTACCCTTTGCGAACAGAGTTACCCTACATGTGTGAAAAAAATCAAAGTGAAAGTAACATGGTTTAGAATAAATATGAATTCAAATTTCGGAAGAACGCTTTTATAAAATGGTTACGCTGACAAACAAATCTCTACCGGAAGAAGAGGCGACGGTTTTCTTCGTTTAATTTGACTTTAGAATGAGAGGGGAGAGGTCACTGAAATATAAACCCTAACACTCCGCTCTGAACGGACCCGAACAGCTGATGAACAGCAGTCGATCTGCTCACGCCAGGAGGCGCTATTCCTATTCTTCTTCTGGAAAAACGAAAGAGAGCTTCAAAACAGACTGCAGCGCCATCTGAAGCAACGAGCGGACTCCGGCCGACACTTTTTTGGCCTAGTGGGCCATCTTGTTATGTACGATCTTTGGTCATACCAAAGATAGTAAATAACAAGATGGGCCACTCAGCCAAAAGAGTGTCCGCAGGAAGTATGTGTTGCTCCCACGGTGTCCCTTATGACTTCATTTTTTAATTTTGTCTCTTCTTGTTTTGTTGACCGCTCTTCTTAAGCATTTATCTATCTATCTATCTATCCTCTTTCTTTTCTTTATGTCTGTCCCTCGCTTGTAATCTTCTCTCGGCATTAATGTGAGCTTATTGCAGTGCAAAAGCCATAAAACTCTGGCAAAAACTGAAATGCACATGAAATACAGCAGTTTATTCACATAGAGCCAAAGAGCCCCAGCACAAAGGGCACAACAGAACGAGGATCCAAAAAGCAGTTTGCTAGCACACCTCCCGTACGTCAGACGAATTACACCTTTCCTTAACACGGAGCCGTATAAGATAGCAGAAAAAGCAAAATGTAAATAAGTTATTTTTAGAGTCTCATGAATAATCATTCACCTCTCCCATCCCCTCCCCCCCCCTTCCCCCCAACAGGAGCAAATAGAATGGGCCGTAGAAGAAGGAGCAGATTTCATTGTCGCCGAAACCTTCTCTGAGCTGGGTGAAGCCGCTCTCGCACTGGAGTGTATCAAGAAATATGGAAAAGGTTTGGGTGTTGTTGCTATCTGTTTTGCTTTTTTATCTTTAA